CAATATTCATGTTGAGATTGTCACAATGAAAGTAGAGCATAAGACGCCTCAAGATTCATATCAGATGTTCAAAATTTGTTTATATTATATCATTTATTATACTAATCTTTAATAGTGTTTATTTTAGCAGTCAATTATTTTAATTATATTAGTATTTTTTTTTGTATTGTTGTAGTTATTTTATATTTTTAGCAGTCATTTACTTTTAATTGTCTCTTTTTTGCCTTTAACCTTACTCATATTTTAGTGTTATGGGAGAATAATGGTACGTTTGGGGCAGCTTGTGCGTTTCAGAATAAACAGTTTATCCTTAGTGTAAAAATGGAACCGTGTTTTCCGATAAGCAGACAAAATGCGCAATCCAAAAGGTACCGCAATATTTTCAAAAACGTCCCCGCATTTATAAGCTGCCCCAAACGGGTCCTAAGACGCGTTATGTGAGTATCTAATCTTAACTAGTTAAATGTTGCACCACCTAAACTTTACTTGTGGCATAAATAAAGGGGCATTTACATACATACCACTCTATTCCTATGTATTTACAATAATAATACCTAAACTTTACTATTCGCACAAAAAATAAAAGGGAACGTACATACATGCCACTCAATTCCTATGTATTTACAAATATAACACTTAAACTTTACTTTTGACATTTTTAACACTATTTTATACTTCCATATCACAAAAGATACCAAATTCTTAATTTTTAAAATGTAAAATACCCCTTTTTTAAAGCATAGTTAAGATATAATCTATGTAAAAATTGAGGTTTAGGAGTTTATATATGTAAATACTTGAGAATTGAGTGGTATGTATGTAAATCTTCCTAAAATAAAATGCAATCCAAGCAAAAATAACCTTAACTATGATTCAAGAGCAATTCTTCATAAACAATCTAGTGTGATAAAACATGTTTGATTCCAAAAAATTCAAATCACTGAAACAAAATTAATAGGCTTCCACAATTATTTTATTTTGCTACAATAAAATCTACAGGGATGGATATAAAACATACGCATAGAGAATATTCTTACCATTTTGTGCTCACGAGGACCATTTACATTTCTAAAGCTTTTGTAGTCAAACATCGGTCCAGTTGTTGTTGACCCCCGAGTTGGGTTGGTCTAGTTGGTTAGATTATTGTGATGAGATATTAGGAAGATATCCGGACATAAATGAGATTGTCCATTATCCTGAGGACGAGGAAGTCGTCACGAACTTTTAAATGGGACACCTCAATCCCATATCATTGAACTTCTCTTTGGCTCAGATATGTCTTTTATAGAGAATCTTAGGAGAATTTAGATTATCCCACCTTTTTGTACTGTTCGAGCATACATTTTATATTTGTTAGACTATTTTCGAGGTGACATACACATTTATATTATTTATAATTACTTGAAGATTTAGCGACAATCTCCCTGTACTCTGTAGGAGGTGCTGTTTTAGCATAATTGTACATAGAACTAAATTTGGCCACAAAGCTTACTGTTGCTAGAATAGCCAGATGTTTACACCTATTACGAGTTTGGTGTTGATAGCATTTGCATGTCTGGAGACGTACTCTTCGTGTTCCTATTCCTATAGATTTAACATGCGAGCCTTGCGGATTCAGATATATTTTATGCAAACTCAAAATGTTTGTAAAATTGTCTGTAATTTCTTTAAAAATTTTATCTGATGCACCCTAATGAAACAATGATCAAGAACGTGAAGTGCTACATTGAAGTCGAGAAATATATAGAGATGAAATTGATGGACTAGTGCAGTGTCAAGTATATTAACTTATATAAAAAAACTTCTACATTATTTATCTAATCTTTAACAAATCATAAGGTCTAAACAAACAAGCTATTTGGGAACCGTATGTTGACGGTATTTGGTATGGTTACTTGAGATTTGTATTGAGAGGATGGAAATATGGACACCTTGTGTACCTTTGATCAATTGAAAATGTGTGGAGTGACAACTTTCAGATCGAGTAATGTGATAATTTTCTTCTGTACAAACCACAATGATTGGGTTAATAGATCATTCATTTCCACGAGTCGATGGAAAAGTAAAACCTAATAGGGATTGGATGCATTGCCATCAAAATTTCATTGCGTTGCAGAACAACCGTCGGGCCATCATAGTTCCGATAAACCCACATTAATGCGATGGAAGTGTAGAATTGTCACATTACTTATAGTGGTATAGATAATGGGCGTCGATTTACCTAGAACTATCGTTTGTTGTACCACCATATACTTACCGCCCTAGGTCACTTAGAGAGAGATTAATGATGCGTAAATATTTTATAATAATATTAGACTTATTGTTTCTTATGTATTGTCCTGATTTGATTAATTATAAACTAATGCAGGTTAACTATTACATACGTTCAAAAGAGCCTTGCTAATAGATTTACTGGTAGTCATGATTAAGAAGTTATGACAATGCAGGAAGGTTATGATGTACTCACTGAGTTTTCTATCAGAATGGACCAATCACTCTATATTTATTGTAGCGATTTTAACCAGCCATCAGAACACACTTCCTGAAGATCAACTTTAGATATCCCATGGCGGTCACCTACGATCTTCTCAAGAGGATCAAATTTAGATGCTTTGAGAAGATCATTTGTCTATGTTAGATCCTCAACATATGCATGAACCTCAACATATACAAGACTTTCAAAATCATATGAGGGTCTGTCTTATGCTTTGCACTGGTCAACCTCACTTATATCTACAATTTTATTTGTGCCCCAATTACAGCGGACCACATTCTACATTTGACAAGAGACTCCAATTGTCACATTAGCTGGTGATCAGATACAAGCGTATAATGAAGAGGAACATCAATTATAAGAGCGACTGCTCCGAGCGCTAACATGATATACTCCAGGAAGAGGAGCTCCTTGACCGTGACATTGAAAATAGATTTTATCATTTTTTCTTAAATTTATTTTACCGTCAACTACTTTTTCAATAAAGTTTGAATTTAATTTCAAAAGTTTGATGTTCGAAGCTTGTTACTTCCAATGTTAAAGTTTAGTCAAAATTAAATTATTTTTAATATTTTTGATTAATTTAAATACTACCCGGCAAAATTAATTTCTTATTTTCCTTGAATTAGATTCTCTTTAATAATACATAAAATAAATTATTAAGAACATTTTTATTAATTTATATCATTCTATAATTAATTAAATATAGTGACATTTTACTTATTGATAATTTTTTTTTTCAAAAATTCGTATTTTAAAAGAAAATATTGACATTTTGACATTAAATTCTTGTTAATTTTAAGATTATAAAATAATTTTGCGTCTTGTTAAACGCAAATACAATTTGCTTTTCATGTTAACGCATACACTGTTTGAGTTTTCGCTCCTTGTGCGAATTTATCGTCTGCACTGCTCCTAATGCTGACATTACGTCACCTTAAGTGACTTTTAAAAGTTTAGCCTCCATTTGGATCAAAAAGAAAATACTGACTAAAAAAATTATGCCTGTTTAATATTTAAATGAAAAAAAAAATTGCAAAAAAGGAAAGGATTTAAACATAAGTGTTAAAAGTTAATAAAGTGATAAAACAAAATTCTAAATATAAAAATTATATTTTTAGTAAATTTTAAACACGAGTATTAAAATTATTGAATTTTTAAAAATAAGTATAGCGTATAAAAATAATTTATAATTAAATATTTATTTTAGATTATCCTAAAATAAAATAAATGATTGAAATTTATAATGATATAAATTTAAAGAAATTAGGGGCCATCACATAAATTCCACTCAATCCTATGTATTTAAGTAGTATCTTAACTTTTAAAACTTATTATTTTATATTTATAGCATCCAAAATTTTTATTTCGCATAAGAAATATCGCTATTTTATTTTTTTTTAAAAAAACGAAATACATATGTTCATTTTTTTTAATATATTATGTACGTCAAAAATAATGTTTGGATAATTGATATATAAATATGACATCTATATAAATCATGTTTTCATGAAAATTAATATATTTCTTTTTAGAGCTAATTCAAACAAGAAAAATAATGCTGAGACCCTTTCACAAAGTAGCATTTGTGTGGATACAAAAGTTGAGCAATATTTTTATTTATTTAAAAACTATTTTAAAATAAATGAAAATTCTAAATTTACAATTTATAACTTCTTAAATTACCCAAAAAAAAAAAGCTAAACAAAATGAGACTATATAGCTGAAAGATGATGTTGAAAAATGAGGTTAAATCATGTCAGAACAAACTTATTCGAACAACGGCATTCCCCCGCATGCAACGTTCAGTTGGTTTTCAGTCGATTGACCATTTATTTAATCTCTTTTATTGGTCTCATTCAGTCGATCGTCTCACTTTAATTGCCCAGCAGTCGCTTGACCACTCAAGCATTGGTCGGTCGGCTCATTCAGCCGACCAACACACTTTATTTCAATGATCTCACATCTCCACAGCTGAACATCTCCCCTCCGACAAACATTATTATCGACAAGCTTTAGACTGTCCGTCTCATTTAGTCAGGCAAAATAGCAACTAGCCTTTCTCTATGACAAACTGATCCTCAGTCGGTCGGTTGTATTCCTCAACCAACTAATCATCTCAAGCATCAAACAATCCTCATTTAAACAACCATTAACTAAAAATATATTTAGTTGTTTTGTAATATCCCTCCCTCTTTCTATGAATATGAGAAGCTATAACATGTAAAAGAGGTGCTCTCCCCTAAGTTGGCTCCTAAGCATTCTCTCGATCCTCATGTAAAGATACCCCTCTCTCCACTCCTTATAACCAATTATGTAGAATAAAATTAATCAAAGAGATCGAGAACACCTCATTTTCTCAAAAAATTATTACATCTAGATGTCCTGATATGTGAACAACGACATGCATCGGCAGAGGGCGGGAAACAAACCTCTGCCTCCTCGTTGCATCCGGATCGTTGTCTGCCGAGTCTTATTCTTCTCTCTCTCACACCCTCTCCTAATTCTTCTTTTTGGGTCAAACGGTCGATGCCTTAGCACGTCTACCGAGTGATTTGATTCCAACCGAGACACATCACAAACGACCCTCCCGTCGAAGCAAACCAGCAATCTAGAAACCTCCGTCACCAGACAAAACCGAAACACCTTCATTTCCATAACCAAATTCTTCCGGAATTCAGCCGTCCTATAAATAACATCCCCCACCCACATCAAAACTCCAACAGCTTTCTATCCGATCACATCCAGATCACCGGCGACATCATCAATGGCCTCCCGCTATGAGATCGAGGTCACGATCCGGTCTGCTCGCAACCTCAAGAACGTGAACTGGCGAAAGGGCGATCTCCGCCCCTACGCCGTCGTCTGGATCGATTCCTCCCCAAAAAGCTCCACCAAAGTCGACATCGATCACGACACCGATCCCGAATGGGACGAGAAGCTGATAATCCCCCTTCCCCCAAATCTCTCTCTCCGCGACGCTACTCTCTACATCGACATCGTCCATGCCGACGCCGATGAGGGTGTTAAGCCGCTCGTCGGATCAGCCCGCCTTCCCCTTTCTGAGGTCGTTGACGACATCGGCATCGGCGGGAAGCTCGATCGGACTCTCAAGCTTAAGCGCCCCTCCGGTCGCCCACAAGGTAAGCTCGATATCCGCGTAGCCGTTAAGGAACAACCTAGGTATTACGATCCCTACGCTCCGCCGCCTCCTTCGTACGGACAGACCTATGGATACCGTGAATCCCGCGACCCCTATGGCTACGCGCCGCCTCCCGCGGGTTACCCTTACGGTGGATCTACCGTTCCTCCGTCAGGCTATCCATATGGCGGGGGGGGCGCGGCGGGGGGGGCGGGCGGGGGGGGCGGCGGGCTATCCCTCCGGAGCCCCTCCGGCGGGGAACCCTTACGGAGGTTCCCAGCCAGGGTACGGACAGCCGGCGTACGGGCAGCCGGCTGCGGGGTCTGGGAAGCAGAGTTCGAAGTTTGGGGTGGGAACCGGAGTGGCTGTTGGAGCGGCGGCGGGGCTGCTAGGTGGTTTGGCTTTGGCGGAGGGCGTGGATTTGCTGGAAGATAAGATTGCAGACGATGTTGCCGATAGAGTGGAGGATGATTGCTACGGCGATGACTTCTAGCCGTGCGATTGTTTGGATGTGACGCATGAGTAGAGATGTTGGGAATAATTTAAACTTTGGATGAGTGTTGCTTGCTTTGTTTATTTACTTACATGCGCGTCAGATTTTAATATAAATGTAGATGCTTTTGCGAGTTTATGCGAAGGAAAGTTATATGAAATGAGAATGCTAGAACGTTGTGATATGCTTCTTTTGTTGAATTCGTTGGCATTGGATGCCTTCCGTCTGAAGATGGATTCGCCTACTGGAATCTAATGTGTAAAAAGAGAGCAGGCCATTGTGAAGCACAACATTGTTACAAGATTTTTTTTTTAGTACAACCATAAGCTCTTAAATCCATTTTTTCTCTTTTTTGTCTTAAATTTAAGATTTTGTGAATTGTAAATCCAGTCGAGGGACGGATTTACGGCATTTAGAGAAGCTGAAGCGTGTGAATATGGTCAAGAGTAAGGGGTAAAAAGACTGCTATCTCCCTCAATGGTTTCAGGTGGATATGTGAAAACCCATTTAATTAAACAAAGATTCACCTACATACCCATCAGTTCTTATGTATTTACATATCTAACGTGTAAATTTCAAATTTTACATAGATGCCATCTTACCAAGGCATAAAATTACTATTACAGCAGCTAAAACTATAGTGATTTTTCTGAATACAAATCAAATTTTGACATTAATATAAGGATATATATATATATATATATAATATATATATATATATATATATATATATAAACACTCTTTAGGTATGCTAAATATTCGAGTATCACATCCTACACATAGAGAGATTCAAACCCGTGATTTGAGAACTTACGACCTACAGAGAGACTGCTCTACCAATATTCGAGTATCACATCCTATATATATTTATATGATGAATGTAAAAATTATGGATAAAATTTGAGCATTAAATTGAAAGTCTTAAAAAAATGTTATTTAGTGTAAAATATCTCTTTATTATTTTAAGTATAATTTTTTAATATTCATATTAAATTTTCTTTAGTGGTATTAGTTATAAAATAAAGTAATGAATATTAAATTATATGCCAATAGTTTTTTTGAGCTATTACAGAGAAGAATTAGTCATGATATTTTATTTATTTTATTTATATTTGATTAATTTTAAATATGCAGGATGAATTAATAAATGTCAAATTTGATTTCTCGCTCCACGGCCCGGCCAACTGTTATTGTTGGATTTATAGAGGTTTTTCTTTTCTTATTATATATAATTGAAGAGGTGCGATGTTTTTGGTCATATTTTAAACGAATTTGGTTAATTGTTTTCCATACCACCCAAATATTATCCTCTGCACCTAATACTTACACAGTTCCTTGCATGGATAAAATATTGTGTCTGGAGTCCGAATGCAAGCAACGTCGGGACAACGGACGCGATATGCCGGCATGAGAGGGTTTTTTTTTTCTTCCTCTCGTCCGATGAATCACATCCATTATCCGGACGCTGCTTGCATTCGTACTTAGAACGCAATATTTTTTCCCTGCATGTCATGCGTGTGTGCAATTAGAATTTCAAGATAAGGGTGCAAAAGAACTGGATTTTGGTTTTAAAGATTCAAATTTTTAGTGATGGAAAATTTACACGCATAGCATCCAATCCTAATCTATTCACATATCTACTACCTAAAGCTCTGTATGTTTTAAAAGTTTGGTGTTATAAAATTTTTATGAAAACGAAAATATGTATTTCACTTTTAGGGTGGGATTTAACCTGGGCTTAACCCAAATCCTGCCTGACGGTCAGTTTGGACAAATTTAAAGCCAAATATTTGATAGGTTCATATTTGACAAATTTCAATCGTAAATCTCGAATTTGTTGGCCACTTTGCGCGGAAAAGAAGATGTGAACTTAATTTCCTCGATGGTTTCAGGTAGGAGTAGAGCAGAAGGAGGAGAAAGATTGGAGTTTCGATCCTGTCATTGCTTTCCCAGTTAACTCTAATCTTGGTAGTATCAAGCAATGATTTTGGTGAAACCAATAGTGGGTAGGTACGTAAGCGAGGGTCCTGGGGAAAAAAGGGAAGGGACTCTCGGCAAAATAGGCAGAGCGGGAGTGATGTAGGCAAGGGTTTCGGGGCAGAGAGGGGAAGGGGTGATAGACTTGTGGTTTTAATTTATTTTTATTGAAATTAATTTTATTAATTTATTTGCTAAAAGTTCATAATTAATTATATTATCAATTCAATTTAAATGAGATAAATTTATATGTAATTATTTAATAGTTAACTATTGAATAAAAATACATTTTTAATTTAAATTATTTAATACAATTTTAAATAATTTTTAATTAATATAAGTAATAACTACTTAATTAATAATTGATTAATATTAAATTACTGCTTAACAAATAATTAGTTTAATAAAAAATTCATTAATAATTAGTTAGTTTAGTAGATAATTAATTATTATTTATTATAATTAACAATAAATATTCAATTTACTTTAATTAACTTTAATAATAAATTTTAATCGTAGAGTGACAATAATCGAAGTTTAATTATAATTTTTAAATTTTAGCATAAGTTATCAAACAATTTGACTTTAGCATTTAACCCTTCTTACTATATTAAATCTAATCTATTGGCATGCAATCCTTTAAAAGGTGATAGTAATTGTGTTTTGATGTTAAAATTTTTTAGTATTATGCAAGTATGAATGGTGTTAGTTATGCAAATACATGGGAATTATGTAGTATGTTTGTAAATGCCCGTTGTCAATTTGACTCATTTTTTTTAGATCAATATAAACAATTTAAACAAATGATTACTATATGTATTAATTACTTTTATTGATAAAAATTAGTAAACATCACTCAAGTATGTGTGTTTTATATGGGTTTAGATGTTTAAAAATTCATCATCATGGTCCTTCCCCTTTTCAAAGATTTATTAATTATTTTTTTGTTTTTATTGCTAATAGACATGTTGATGAAGAAAAAATAATAGAAATACATTTTCATTTGTTCCCTTTTTTTTCTACATTGATTTAGATTCCTTAACAAGTTTCATCAATGATGATGATTGTGCAAATGGGAATTTACTAAGAGGTTGATGTGCTCTCACCTCCATCAATGTCATAAGATTGGTACAAACATCAACACTGATCTTCTATGTTAAACATCACCATTGATCTTCTATGGTACAATATTTTTGCTATAGAGAATTCCCGTAGGTTATAAAGATGCAACAATCATTCGATCACAAGCAAAACCAAGTTAGTCAAATTCAAAATGCTTGCACTCAATCAAGTTGGCCCAATTCTTGGCTTTTATATTAAACTATGTGGAGTGGCTAACTCGCTCTAATATCTTTTTTGGTTATTCTTTGAGTGGCTTCTAACACAATGAGAGAAGGTGAAAACATCCATGTCAGTATGGAGGCCTTTGATGACCACATTTTGGACAAGTATAACTCTTGATCATACCACCATCACAAAAATCAGTATTGAGAAGATAATTATATCCTCTCGATTACATTTATTCCAAACATAATGATATTTTCACATCCACTTAAAATAAGGTGCATTTTTTGTGGTTGGTACCTTTTTGGCACCACCCATAGAATCCAAATCACTCCACAATTTGCTTATGTTACATTGAGAGTGATCATGAGACAAAAAAACTATTGTGTACAAGAATTTCACAACCATTTAGGATTAAGTGTATTTTTTGTGGCTACTATCTCTCTGGGTCCATCCAAAGAATCCAAATTGCTCCAAGATTTGCTTCTATCACAATGGGAGCTATCATGAAGCAAAATAATGTTGTCTTAATTGCTCCTCAATTAGCTATAAAAAAATGTTTATGAGTACGCGACCGATATAAATTCCAACCCAAGAAAATAATGTTTGTGACCCCAAAACTAGAACAATGATCAACAAAATCTCTTGCAAAATGACACAATCATGATGGTATTTGAATTATCAAGTTGGACAAAGGTCGTCCTCCTCTACAACCTTCGCATTGTGATTTATGCTTGATGCATCTTACCAGCTTTTATCCATGCTTTATTGCTTCATTGCAAATTCCAACTTCTCAATCACCATAAACTATTTTAGGAAAAAAAAATAATCGGAAAAAACTTCAAGAAGATTTATTGCAAAGCATTTTTTGGGATATACTATTAGTTTTAAGTGCAAAATATTTACAAGTAATTTTTTTAGTACTTTGAAAGCATCTTAACGCAATTAGTCCTTTTTCTTACATACGAGTTCCGTACATAATATTATTAAGTTTTCTATCTGGATGTGTGATCTATGGCGTGAATTTAACCACACCACTCTATACAATGACGTGGCTGAATCCACACCGTCATCCACACATACGAGTGTCCTGACATAATATTTCTCGTGAATAGCCTTAACATTGTTGCTACAACATAAGAATCAAACTAGAAATCAAAAGACAAAAATACGAATTTTGGTTAAAAATGTTAACAAAGAACAATATTTATTTGTTAAATTATAATTGAACTATCATTTGGTGGAGGCCTGGCTCCAATATTTAGGCAGACGTGCAAGCAAATACTACACACATCAGCATTTGTCATTTAATATCCCAATTGCTCCCAAAACATACAAAAGAATAATATTTATTACAGACCATAAGACATTTCATGAATGTCAATGCCAAATCAACATTCCTTCTTAAATTGGAAGCATCAGATTGTGCGCTGTGTTATTTGTTTTAATAAAATGACAATTGATTAGTGCCATTTTTCCTCCTATGCTTCGGTGGAATCTGAGAGTTATTATTAATTAAAACATATTTGCTTCATAAATATTCAAAAATATACCGCAATTAATGTTAGATTATAGATTTTTTTTCATAAACCGCTGAATTATTCATGAAAATTATATATTATTACCAAATAAGTTTCACATTAAAGTTATGACTTCTCCTTCACTCTCCTCTCCAACCAACACATATATATATTAGTACAAAAATCCCATTAACTTATCATTCCATTTCCATTCAAATTACAGATGGCCTCTCCTTCACGTCTCCCCACTCCAACAACATGACAGGACAAACTAAACTCCTCAACTCAGCCCTCTTCATTACACCTATTTCAGTTTATAAAAAAAAATTATATTTCCATTCTTATCCAATTTCCACCACCATTGGCCATAAGTCAGTAATGAGCCCAAGCTCCATAGTCAATGACCTCTTCTCTCAGTT